ACACACACACACGCACGCACGCACACACACACACACTCACACATAAAACTCTCTCTCTCTCTCTCTCTCTCTCTCCGCTTCCTTTATCCAACACTAAACCACCTACCTGCTGTTTCTGAGCTGCGTTGGGCGACGGGTTGAAGACGGAGCCGAGAGACCCACTAGTATCAGGCGACTCCACGACCTCATCATCCAGGGAGAAACTGACCTCCTTCTTTTTCTTCTTCTCGGCGCCAGGTACCTCCAGAGTAGCCCTAATCTCCTCAGGGCCGTGCTGGTCATTGGCCACGGACACAGTGCTCACCCACTGCGCCGCCTGGTACAGCTTACTGTCCACAGCGGCTTGCTGTGCGTTCGAGGCTTGCGACGCCTGCCGTTTCTTATCAGCGCGCCGGATGAGACAGATGACGACGATGATGATAAAAGCGAGGATGCCAGTAGCCACGATGATGACGACAGCAATGATGATGTTGGTGGTCTTCATGCCGCTGTTAGCGCCGAAAGCTCTCATCGCTTCCTCGCTGCCTTCCTCCACCACCACGTTGATGATCACATGGGTGGACTGCGACGTGGCGCCGGGTCCGTCCGAGACAACGATGTCCAACGCGTGGGTCGCCACGTCAGGCGGCCGGATCTGCCGCGCCACACGGAGTTTGCCTGTAGCCACGTCCATGGAGAAAAGAGAGGGCTCTCCTTTGTTTGAGTCGCCGCTGCCCTGGTCGTGAATGACGTAAGAGAGCTCGACAAGGGCGGGGTCGTCTTCGTCCGTGGCTTTGAAAGTGGTGATGATGCTGCCGATGGTCATGTTGAAAGGGCAGGAGAAGGTCCGCTCGTTCTCTGGCGGCTCTATCACGACGGGGGCGTGGTCATTGTCGTCGTTGATGGTAACGGTAACATTCGCTATGTCGTAATAATTGGGCACTAACGGATCGGCGACCTTGACCTGGAATTTGTAAACGCTTCGCTGCTCGCGATCAAACGTCGTTTCGGATTTTAGCAACCCCGTGTCGGGGTCAATGGTGAAGAAGATTCCATCAGCTGAGATGACCGACTTGGCGTCATTCATGATGGAGAAGACGAAGCGGCCGTTCTCTTTGGCATCGGCGTCGTAAGCTGAAACATCCCCCGCTGGGGAGCCGTTGGGGAGATTCTCCGTTATAGAATTACTGAACGCTTGCTTAGTGAACTTGGGCGGGTTATCGTTCTCGTCTAAGACTTTAATTGTGACGGTGGCCGTTGTGGACAGCTGGGGATTCCCATTGTCAGCGGCGACGACTACGAGATAGTATTCGCTCCTGTCTTCACGATCAAGCATGGTGGTCGTGGATATGGTACCGTCCACCTGGTTGATGGAAAAGAGAGAGAGGTACTCTCCGGAAACCAGAGTATACGTCACCTCGCTGTTCTCTCCGGCGTCGGCGTCCGTAGCAACGACCTGCATCACAAAGGTCACCTTGTCGCCGTTCTCCATGACAGTCCCGTACAGCGTGGAGTCGACGAACTGAGGAGCGTTGTCATTGATGTCCTCTATCTCCACACGGAACGTGGCAGTGGCGGACATGGGTCGGATGTCTCCGTCCTTACATGTGATGAGGATATCTCTCACTGCAGCCTCCTCTCTATCTACGGGCCGGCTCAGTTTGATAACAAAAATCTTTCTCGCAGGATCGTTGAAACTCTCCAACACGAAGTGGTCGTCGTCGATGCTGCAGCTGACCTCTCCGTTGACCCCGCTGTCGTCATCAGAGACCCGGATGTGTGCTAGGAAGCGACCCTCCGAGCCGTGCTCCACGACGGGGCTGCTGTTGGGGGCGGGGTTCACGCGGATCTCCGGGGCGTTGTCGTTGACGTCGATCACATTGATGGCCACATAAGCGGATGCCGTCTCCGGGGGGCTGCCGTTATCCGAGACGGACACGTAGAACTGGTAACTTTTCTTCTTCTCGTAGTCCAGAGGAACTCTCGCGAAAATTTTTCCCGATTCGGATTCGACCACAAATGTGTTTCGAATATCTTGTGAAACCTGTGAGCTCAGGCTATACGTCAGACGAGCGTTTTCGCCCTCGTCCAAATCTGAAGCAGAAACAATTATCACAGGATCCGACATATCCGAATTTTCGAGTACGTTCTTCGTGTAGTTAGGCTGCCCGAATTTTGGCGCGTTATCGTTGATATCTGTAACCTGGATATTTATCAGGACAGAACCAGAGAGAGGATTTTGTCCTAAATCCGTCGCAACGACGGTGAGGGGATACGATTTCCTTTCCTCCCGATCAAGAGCTCGTTTGATGGTGATCACGAGGTCTTCAAAGCCATCCGTGGTTCTGACGGTACTCACCTCGAAGTCAGTTGTGTAGGAATCGAGCAGGTACGTGATTTTCGAGTTTCGTCCCTCGGCGTCATTGTCAGTAGCCACACTGGTCGTCAGAGGGTGGTTCACCTCGAGATTCTCAGAAACAGGAAGGTTAACCACTTTCCGCGGAAACGTTGGACTGTTATCGTTGATATCATCGATGTAGATCTTAACCTGGATGATGGTATCCAACACTTTGGACACGGAGCCTGGCTGCTTCATGTAGACCCCGATTGCCAAATTGACGATGCAGGTGGCCTCTTTGCGGCAGATTTCTTCCCGGTCTACGTTTTTAGCAGTTCTTATCACGCCACTCCCAGTGTCCACGTTAAAATACTGAGCATTTCTGTTGCCTTCTGTGTACGGGGTAAATTCTAAAAGCTGGAACTTGTCTCTGTATTTTTCAAAAAGCTTACTGTCTTTTGCGGTATTTCCAACTAAGATGTTACTGCCACTTTCCTCACGATGATGATAGTCCAGATTTACTTCGTCGTTTCCCTGAACCGACATGACAAGCGAAAGAAGCGCAAGCGCCACAACGGAAATAACAGAGAAACTGTGGCAACGATCCATTCTGAAAATAAAATGTGGAGATTTCCTGTCGTGCGGACGTGTGTAATATCCAGTCACCTCGATGAAACTAAAGCTAAAGCATGTGTTCCCAACATCTCGGGACAGGTATACCTTAAATTATAATATGACGCTCATCGTCTCATTGGCTACGACAAAACTGCCACTTTTCTCTACAACAATCCGGCAATCTTAAAACCGTTAACTCCCGTCACAGCTGATAACCAGGCACAGGTGAAACAGGGTAACCCCCTCCTTACACTCCCTGACAGACGACCGCCTCAGGCATCGGCAGTCACGCTTGGGAGGCCAAACAGCACAGTCCGCATCGGTTGACACACACAGGGACACCCCAGGCAAAATCCTTTAGTCCAGCAGTCTCAGTGGGCCACCTGTAGGAGAGGAATGGAGAAAAGAAAGAAGTCGTAAGTCTTCGTAGGGAAACACCGGCAAACAAACGCCAGATCAAGCAAGGAAAAATATTGACCCCTCAGTACAAATCCCAGACGAGCCTATATTTTAGTATCAATGAATCAAAGCGGACGTTCGCATCACAAGCCATTTCCCCGATCCAAAAGCCCAGGGGAGGAAACACAAAAGTTGGTGGCCAATCTTTAGGGTAAACACTGGAAAGCTCAACTAATGGACGGGTTGGTGTTAAGGGCTCGGGTATTCGATACAACTTCTCGACAAACACGCAGAAAGAAACATAAACACGCGAGTTGGCGCGACGGCATGATGCAAAATGACGAGCACTAATACCCCCGGAACTCGCTGAACCCCTTGGCGTTCCTCTGTTCACGATTGGAAGGCTTCAATACTGAATATGAGAACCCTTCTATGGTGGCTTTGTCCTTTGACTGTACACAGAAATTTCCTTGACTTTATTTGTTCTTGTTAATGAAATGTCAGTTTTTCCTTTTCTTTCGAGTTCACCTACAATTAATCATAAAATCGAACAACCAAAGTTAACACAGCACGCACATTGGTCTTGCCCCTAATACTATAAAGCACAAGAGAGGTAAAGGGTTGATAATTTAGGATTGGTAGAATCGTGTAATAGAATTATAAAGGAAAGAGAGGGGGTCATTTAAGGCTCTAGGGAATTTTTCATAGAAAGAACAGCACATCAGGCAGCTGTTAAACTATTCCACAACCTCAATCTTACTAGCATCTTTACAAGTATCGTATAAAAAAACAACCCATTTCTCAACACCAGGATGACAATAGTACCAGAACCGATCATTTCTTAAAATGGATGATTCAAATATTTTTATGTCGGTGTAGGAATTATCAATCGACATTTTGTTAAGCCAACCCAAGGGCTTACAGAAGTCCGTATATTATTACCTTGGAGAGAGATTGGAACAACCATAGAGTAAAGGAGTGAAAGAATGCCTAGGGATGAGTGAGTTATAGAGCGAACGCAAGAAGGAGAACAATTTTATTGCACAATCATCACGATGCCTAGTAACCCAACCCCCCACACCATGTCATCCATTACACAACACAATTATTGCTCGAGTAATCAAATCCACCCCAAGGGCCTTCACACTTCACACCCATAAACGCATAACCGAAATTAAGGCCTCTCTCTCTCAAAAGGAAGGAGGGAAAGTGGGGGTGGGGTTGGGGAGGTGGGGAAGGTGGGGGAGCGGGGGTGCTCGAACCTCTGCTCCGGTCTTTAACCTCTGACCATGACCTCAAGAGATTGCCTCCGGGGAGAAAATGGCTGCTCACGAAATACGTGCAAATGCAGTGTGGTCTCGCGAAAGATGAGCATCTGAATTTATGGAGAGAGAGAGAGAGAGAGAGAGAGATAGAGAGAGAGAGAGAGAAAGAGAGAGAGAGAGAGAGAGAAAGAGAGAGAGGCAGACAGACAGACAGACAGACAGACAGACAGACAGACAGACAGACAGACAGACAGACAGACAGACAGAGAGGGAGAGAGAGAGAGA